ACACACACACACACACACACACGCACACACACACACGCACACACACACACGCACACGCACACACACAGAGAGAGAGAGAGAGAGGAGGAGCAGGAGGACGTAGTGGACGGATCGAAGCCAAGTAAAAGAAAGAAAATGACGAACGGATAATGCCTACCTACTGGCCGCCCTCGTGCCCCCCAAATATTCCATGTGCAATTCTACACCTCCCATGCATCCATATGTACCTCCCTACTGCTTCCTCTCCTGATCACCATAATACCCCCCAACCCACACACATACACACGGCACCGTCATGCCTTTCCTTCTGCAGTTCGGTATAACTCACACACACACACACATACACACATTCCTTCTGCAGTTCTGTATAACTCACACACACACACACACACACACACACACACACACACACACACATACACACATTCCTTCTGCAGTTCTGTATAACTCACACACACACACACACACACACACACACACACATGCGGGAGTTCAACCTCCTGATGAGTCAGTGAAAGTCCGACGAAACAGTCTGGCACGGTCACGCTGTTACGCTTTTTTCGAGTGCATAGCGGATTTTTTTTTTTGCTCTCTCAATTTCACCTCACACTAACTATGATAACACGCCTGCGGGGGTTGGGACCAAAAAAACACGTACTCATGCCCATGCACAGCCACAGGCACAGCACAGGCACGTCGTCGACAGGGAAACGCACACGCAAACATTACTGACCTCTCGTGGTTTCTGAATACGTACTGCAGCTCAGCTGATCTTCGAGGGCACCACGCTACCCGTAGTAGTCCAGCGCAGCCTTTGGATATCCACTCGCTGGCTCAATGGCTCAATTATGCCCGCAGCGCTCCGTAGCTCCGTGCTTACCAGCCACTTTCAATTGGCATCTGCTTATATCTTTACCCGCCCTGCCTGCGGTTCGCTTACTCCACGAACGATTCGCATACTACCCCCTTTTGTGCTCCACTGACCTTTTACTCTGCGTCCCGCTCTATCCTCGTTGCCCACAAACGCGAGAACAAAAAAAAAAAAAAAAAAAAAAGAACAGGGGAAACCCCGCGTATCGAGTTGCCGCTTTTTGAGCTTTTTTTTTTTTTTTTTTTTTTTTTTTTTTTTTTTTTCCGGATTCTGGAACATTTTCCAGGCTGGCCAAACTATAGCCACATGCAATCCAGCGGCCTAGCTCAGCTGGTAAGGCACGCAAGTGGCATTCAGTTCAGGAGGTCTTGGGTTCAATCCCCGATGATGGGCTAATGTACCTTCCTGTCCTGGGCAAGCTTGGCGCCCGCCACCTAGAGATATGCCGTTGGTGGTCCCCCCGAGTGGCATTGAGTGAGCAGAGTCTGCTGATGTTGTGTTCATAGGGGGGAGGGGACCGGAGGGGAGGCACAGTGACTGGCCCGTCGAAGAAGCTCGGTCCTGATGCTACCCGCTGACCCCTGCCCGGGGGGCTAGGTCCCACTTACACGACTTAAGCGATATTGACCGTAGATAGCAAAGATCAACGGCCAGAATCTCTTAATCCGTGCAAGTGGGACCTTGCCCCCGATATCGTCCTGATGCTGCTGGTGGGTGCAGCTCCAGCATGTTCCCTCGTTGGAGGCCTTGAGCACGGATGTGGCTGCTACGGGGTTCCCGGGGCCAAGTCCCACTAGCAGCGTTGAGCTTTCCCGACGCCTGAATCTGGATGTGATTGAGGAATGTGCAGAATGGCATGGAGTATCCTCAGCCGCACTCCACAAACACGTCCAGATTCAGGCGTTGAGGGAACTCAATGCTGCCAGTGGGAAAATAATGACAATAAAAACGGCCTGAAAGGCTGTCCTGATTCGATAGGTAATTGAATTGATTGAAAGAATTAACCTTAAAAAAAAATAAAAAATAAAAAAGAATTAACCTTAGCCACGAGATTATCTGACCTGGGCCTTGTCCTCACTCTGTTCTGGCAGTGTCCTTTTCCAGCGTGGCCAAAGGTAAGAGGTATCCGATTCGGTCGCTGGTGGGACTTGCTGCTGGGTTAGGGCCTTGCTCCAATACACATCTACATGCATTTGGAGGCTTCGAGGCCCAGATGCATTCTGACGAGTCAAAAATTCTGAATGAACTGTGCGCAGGAAGAGAGTCCAAATGCATGTGGAGTATTGTATAGTGGAGCCAGGCACTTAGGCCTCAGCAACCTGCGCTGCCTTGCCTTTCCTCAGAAAACTCGTTTTCACAGCGAAGCCCAAATCCCACCACGTGGGCGGAGAATTGACGGCACTGGATGAGAACAGGCTGATGGCTCACAACGAGAGGGGCTAACCTGACCGTAAATGTTTTTTTTTTTTTTGGGGGGGGGAGGGGTGGAACCGTGACGTTAATATTTTATTTTTCTCTTTTTTTGTGCATTTGGTGAGTAGTGGAGCGAGGCCCGTATTCTTCTCTTGTTTTCTTTTTTTTTTCCGACGCAAATCGTCCATCCAATGGTTGTGAGTGAACAACACAGCATGCATGTGCGAAAGCACGTCAACCAAAAAAAAAAAAAGAAAAAAAAAAGCACGTCATGACAGCGACAAGAATACGAGACAAAGATAACCCCCACACAGAGACAAGGATAAAGATAATCCCCAGACGAAGACAAGGATAAAGATGATCCCGAGGCCAACTCAGCTCAGGGCCTCGCCACACCACTGTCGAAACGAAAAAAGTTCCAGTGCATCTTCACGCAGAGCGTGGCAAGATGCATCCTTTACTATGAATAGTAACGGATGCATCTTACCACTTCCTGGGAAAGGTGCATTCTTTCTTTTTTCGTTTCTACAGTGGTGTGGCGAGGCCCTTAGGGCATAGGGCCTCGCCACACCACCCCTGAGTTTGGATTTTTTTTATTTATTTTTTTCCGAAGGCTGATCAATTTTATTACCAATGTGGGGTTGGACTTGCAATGGAGTCTCAGTTTGGGGCCTAGAGAACCTCTCCGCCGAGCTGGTACGAAACATCCGGACGAGGTTACCCCAAGCTAGCGTAGCGATCGCTAACAGATGGCACAGATCCTGTCCTGAGGTGGAACCTCCCTCAGAGGAAGAACTGTCCTCTGTATGGAAACAACTGACAATGATGCCTTCTCAAAAACTGGCATCTCTGGCCTGGTTGCAGTCCCAATTGGCTGTTCCTACTGCCAAATGGCTGCAGGACAGACAGATGGAAGTTTCCATCCAATGTGACAGATGTGCTGCAGACACAGAAACAATGCAACACTTGTGGTGGGACTGTCCGCTCTCCAACAAATGGTGGAAGTGGTGGGAACGTCATTGGGTGGCTTTCTCAGGGAAAAGAAACCTGACAGGTAAGAGATGGGTGCTTCTTGGTGCACTACCTCCAGATGTCTCAGGAGCCAAAGGGTGGGAGTACATTGCACAAGTGGCTCGGCTCGCCATGCTGTGGACAATCTGGCTGGACAGAAACGGCAGGAGATTCCAAGGTGAACCTCTCCACGAGGTACAGGCAGAGAAAATTTTTCGCCATCTGCTGAAAACCAAGATCAAGGCGGATTGGTTTCGAAAAGTTCTTCGGGGTGATCCTCAATCCGGGCTCCGGTGTGACGCCCAACCTCACGCCCAGCGCGACTTCCTGATCGGAGTGGGGTATGCGCCTGGAAGTGCGAAAAGGGGTGTGCCAAGGATTTTTGGGAAAGTGGGGGAGTCTTGAGGGTATGAATGCAATTAGGTGAATAAGGGGTGCGTGCNGCCTGGAAGTGCGAAAAGGGGTGTGCCAAGGATTTTTGGGAAAGTGGGGGAGTCTTGAGGGTATGAATGCAATTAGGTGAATAAGGGGTGCGTGCGCAAGGGACTCAAGGTCCGATGGGGCCGGGGCACTGTGGGCGACGGTTGACGGGGAAATCCCTCTGCGGTGGAGGCGGTCCCGAAAAGTTAGGCCGTCGAGGGCCGCCACGTGGCGCAGGCCGCCGCGTACTTGGATTGGGCCTTCGGAATTCCAGAGTTCTCTGTTCGCCGCTACGTCGGCAATTCACACAAAACATACTGGGCCAATAGGGGGCGATGGCCGGCCACGGAACGACGCTGAGTTGATGATACGGGAGAAGAAGGCGGAAAGGAGGGAAACTGGTGGTGATGACAACAAATCTCGGGTGGGTGAAGTAGTAGGTGTGGTCGGGGGAAGGGAAATCAGAGCACCGAGGGTCGCTAGAGGTGGCGCAGTGGAATTCCCGGACATAGTCGATTCTCTGTGTGACAGGGGTATCACAGCCTTATGAGTTCGTTTATCCAAGGTGTGAAATAATCCGGGTCGTAGGATGAGTCTGAGCTCCAAGACCGCGTCATGGTATCATCGTGGATGGGACAGCTCGGGTCGGGTTACCATCACCGCGCACGAGCACGTACAGGACAGGCGAACTTAGTTGCACCTCATCGTGCCCGTACGGAATGACGGTTCCGCCGCGAATCTGTTTGGGCGAATCGACGCACGGGAATGCGTGTAAGGGCACGACTCGGATCGCGTTTACACGTGTTCTCGCGCGGCGTGGGCCAAACTTCGGATCGCCTAATTGCTCCGGAAGTTTCGATTATGCAAGGTGCAACCATATCACAACCCCATCGTGGGACAAGCAAAAAGGAAAACAAAATCACTGTCGGGGCCAGATTCTTATCCCATCTACAGCTGCGTCAAGTGCGGGCAAAGATTCGACACAAACAAAAAGCAAGGACAGGGATTCTCAGCAAAAAGATAGACAAGCAGGCATAACATCCATACATCCATACAGTCGACAATCATACACATAATGCAATCGGGGTGGACATCGCAAGGACAAGTGTGAGCAAAAACCCAAGCCCGGATTCCAGAAGGCCGAAACGAAAATAAAAATGGGCAAACCGCCCGGATCCGCAATCAAAATGTATGTACACAGATGAAGAGGGGGAAGAGACAAAGAAACAGAAAACCCGCGTCCATCGACCTCAACTCTCTCCTTCTCTCTCTCTCTCTCTGATGCGGACGGTCCRTCGTCACGCACCAACCCATGAAGCTGTCACCCCGCTTAGTCCTCCCGCACYCGTCGGATTCGCCCATGCCCACAGTCCGTCGTGGCCCACGTCAATCCTGCGCGTTCGGCACCAGCCCGTCGGGTCACCCAACTCCTACTCTACTCACCTCTGMCTTTGCTCRTGTGCCGACCCTTCYTGATCGCGCAACCCCGAGCTTCCAACAACGGGTTAAGAGAGTTGACGAATCGCGCAGCCGAAATTTATAGCGTGCATGCATGCGCGAAGAACAAGGAATTACTAGGATTTAGAGTGGGGATTAGAGAGGGAGCGCCTGCGTTCTGCATGATCGGCCGCGGCGTGGGGGACGTTACCCTTCTCCACGCATCGATCCGAGCATGCAAGCCGCGRCTTATAAAAATTTCAGCAAAAGAAAGAGAGGGAGGGCGGGAGACACGAAGCGCAAGAAGAAAGATACAGTTACAATGGCGCCCGCCCAAAATTACAGTTACACACACGATTAAGGGCGCCCACTAATCAGAGTACCGTTGCAACCGCATGAAGAAGCGCGTAGACAAAAGGCGCCGCGCGGCAAAAAAACTCCTAATTACTGAATTCCTAATTCCTATCTAATGCAGAAAAGCAAAAAGAAATTCCGAGAGTCATCGGGGCTCGACAAAATTCGAAAAAGACTCAAAAGAAAATTCAAAAGAACAAAGCAATTTCCCGCGAGATGTCCGCGCCCAAAAGATACCGGAACGAAAGAAACGACGTTAACATTTATTAATCGCGCGCCCGGTGGCGCGTCGGACATCCATCCGACCAATCAATCAACCGGCCGTCCCAAGGACACACCCAGCTCCCAACCCAGCCATTCGAAAAAGAAGCGACAAAAAAGGACGAAAAAGCGAGGACACTGATGCAATTCTCAACCGATCCCGATTTTCCGTAATTGGCCCAATCTTCGCAACTTAGGACCCCTCGTTGCAACCGCGCAGAAAATCGCGCGTTACAGAAAGTGGTTCGCCACATATGTGACGCCCAGGGGGTTCCAATATTAGCAAGCTCCTGCTTGCTTGTTGACACGTGTCGATTTCTCTAATCGATCGACACGCGGAGCACTTCTGTCTATGCCACTTACCGTTCAATTGCGTGTGGACGTCATCCAACGTGGCAACACTGCTTTGCTACTAGTTCCTCAGATTGGGCTCTCGATGATTCAAGGACGGGATCTTTCTCGTGCCGTCACCGCGACACGCGTCCATTACCGCTGCATCAGTAATTAATTGGAAGGGGAAAAGGAAGGCGATACGAGTATGAGGGAGGGCGAGGCGGCTCCATCGTAAGCTCATGTATGAAGCGCCCGATCGTGGTAAGGTCGTAGGGAAGATCCTGAAAACGGACGACGCGATGGAAACGGGGGAACCGTTGGCCGCTCAAGGTAGTCTGGGTAAAGGGAGACGAGGGTTCGGAGGACATCTGTGCGGAACCGATCATGGTCCTCGCACGCGGGAAAGGTCCCCGTGACGATGCAGTAAACCTCTATGTGGTTATGGCCTCGCCACGCGGCGCTAAGGAGTAGAACGTGGAGGGGGTAATCGGGGACGGCGCACCGAACGGAAGGGTGGGGGTGGACAGTCAGCTCTAGGCGGGCGGAGTAGAAATGTCGGAAGGTGGCAACGGGGAAGGGATTACGGGGGAAGACGACGCGATGGAAATACTGATTGAAAGAGAGATGGCTAAGGGGACGGTGGTATATGGATCGGGGACGAAGGGCGAAGCCCCTCATTGACACGTTGATGAATTGGGGGATGGGCGGAGGCGAAGGGGGACGGGGATTGGGATCGGGATCGGCGCCTTGTCGTCGTGGCGCTCAATGTCGTGGCAGCAAGGTCCCCATGTTCCGGCTTGAGCGGCTCGGGATCCTTGGAAGGATCGTTCGGTGTGGGGTCGATCGCCGGCCGCTTTCCCTCCGCTACCTCTTTCTTGAGTTGCGCGGCAGCCTCAGGATTCTCCTCTGGTCGATCCGGTCCTGGCACCCACTCGAGCTCGTCGTCGTGTGTTGGCGCCTGGTCGTCTCCGCTTTCCACTTCTTCGTTGTCGTCTTCATCCTCCTCTTCACTTGGCTCGCCCTCACTGTGCTCACTATAGGCTTCCTCCTCTTCTTCTGAAGTCTCCTCCTCTGATTCTTCCTCTTCTTCTTCTTCAGCTTCCGCCGACTCTTCTTCTGCTTTGCGTTCTTCTTCCTCATCCTCGGCCAACCGGGCCGCTGCTTCCCCAACCTTTCTCCTTAATTCTCCTTCCGAATCCTCTTCTGCTTCCTCTTCGGCTCTCAGCGCCGCCCACTCGAACGCCATTGGTTGCCGAAAGAAGCGGGGTTAGTCAGACTGTGGACGTCCAGGTAAGAGCTGCGAGAGGGAAAACGGTCATCCGCCCAGCGCTCCTCGATACAAGCCGACCACTGGAGGCTCGGTGCAAGAGTCCTTGAGAGGGTATGTGGCACTGGCTCTTCGTCTTTCTAAAAGACGATGTCAAGGGGGAGTTCGTCGGCCAGTCGCGCGATCACGATCGTAAGTTCGCGCACGATCTGCGATCGGTTTCCCCGATCCACTGCTCCAAAGACGAATCCCAGAAGGTCTCCCGCCACGTTGGTCCTCCACGCCTGAATGACGAGCAGCTCCACAATCTCTGACGCGGACCTCTGATCGCCTTCCCACGTCCAGTTCAGATCCACTCGTAGTAGACAGAACGAGAGCTCAACGAACTCTGCACGCCACAACCTCCAACGATTCGGATCAACGATAGGTACTGTCAGCGACTCCAGGCGGAAGGAGAGACGAGGGTAGTGAGAGGACTGCCCGAAGATGGGGAAGAGAGAGGGAGGACAAAACGTCGAGATCCGCGCGTGGCTCATCTGCGCGGCTGGAAGGGAGCAAGTTCTGGGAGGACGACAGGTGGCTCGCGCAGTGTTGTGCGCAGCGTGTTGACCTCGATGTTGTCGACAGGATAACACTCGTCACTGTGCCTTGTGAGCCATCGATCCCAATCAGTGGCCAGATCACGACCCCACCGGTACAAGGTGTTTTTGATGGCGGCTTGCCGCGCCGGATCGAAGGCGGTGATGTTGCCGCTGAAGACTACCACGGTAGACACGTGGCTAATTCCCGGGGCCACTCGCCGTTGGAACGTCGTTGCCTCGGCCAACACCACCACCTGGGGATTGCTCGTGAATCGGAATTCTGCCGCGCCATACACACCTGCAGTGCAGAAAAACTGCGCAAGGCGCATGAAGTCGGGGTTAATCCGCGGATCATGCACTTGGCGGATGGCTGAGATCTCTCCCCGTGGCATCAGCAACTGATCACTGAAAGCTCGCTCGATGGCGAAGCTCATGGCGATGGCGGGGGTGACGGGGTGGCAGAGAGGGAGCAAGAAGAAGAGGGAGATGGCGGAGAGTCAGAGCCGTCGTCGTCGATTTCCTCAGAAAGAGAGACCGAGGGAGAAGGAGACAGAGCAGAGGGAAGGAGGCAAAGATAGGACACGTTGCGTGTGATCGGACGAGCCGATCAACTGCCAGAAACCTCGGGGGCGAGACGCACGGTGTCCACGCCGTTAGGGCCGAGCTCGATCACGCGATATCGCCCGAAGAATCGTGGCGCTAGCTTACCCTGGCCAGCACATTTCCTTACCTGCACCACGTCCCCCAATTTGTACTGGGGCCGCGGACCCGCATTCCCATTTCGGGCCTCATAGCTTCGGACCTGTCGCCCTTGGGCTAGTTCGGTCATTTTCTGTCGTTTTCAGGCTAGCCTAGGCAGTGACCGTTCCATTAGCTCTAGGTGCCGTTTGGCCTTGTCCCTAGCCGTGGCCCTGGTGGGCCGTCGGTTCAATGTAGACTCATCTGGGAGGCTTGGTATCGAAACGCAAGCGACGCTATTGGTCCTTAATTGGAAGGGGCTTAACCCCGTCGATTCGTGGGGCGTTCCGCGATGGACCGCCAGGATGTGATCGACGATATCGGGCCAGGGCCTTGGATCCCGTGCCGCGATATTTCGTCGCAATGTTGTCTTTATCACCCGGTTAGCGTTTTCGACCAGCCCATTGGATTGTGGTATGTGGGGTGCAGTGTTCCGTATGGCGACGCCATGTATGACCAGATTCTTTGGCACTTCTCCCCTGAATTCAGCCCCGTTGTCGGTCAGGATCTCTTCCGTATCCTGATGCATCCCGAAGAAAGGGTTGACATATCGCGCGATGTCTGTGGCTTGCCGCGTGCGAGAAGGATACGCTTCGATCCATGTCGAGAAATGGTCGACAAATACCAATAAGACTGAATATTCGCAACTATTAGGGCCAGGGTGCACCACTACGTCGGTAGTGTCCATGCTCACTCTTTGAAATGGCCGTTCAACAACCGTGGACACTATCGATCTTGGTGGCTGAATCGGCGCTTTATCAGCGGTGCAGACTTGACAGTTGGCGACAATGTATTTCACATCGTCGCGGATATTGGACCAATACCACTCATTTTTGTCAATAGCGGACTCCGTGATTCGTACGGCAAAATGGGCCGCAGTTTCCTCGTGGGCTGTCTTAACCCAGTCGTACTGCATGAACGAATGCGGTACCACCATCCAAATCCCATTGCCATCCGTTTTCCGTATTTCTAATCTACCTTCTATCCATCGATAATCCCGAGCCCTTTCGTTGGCCCTCCTCCGATCTTCCTTAGTGAAATCCTGGAGGGGGTTACCTACTAGGGTGGCAATTAAGCAATATCAGTCCATACTTCGGCCCTTCTAAACTTTCGGGTCTTTTCCAACCCTTCTGACGTGACATTCAAAAAGCGAGCCTCGGTCGGAATCTTGTCGGTCCGGCACAAGGGGCATAACCACGGTTTACTATCGTTTCTGTTTTGGATGCACGACCCATGGGCTCGTGTGACACACTGTCGGCAATCTATCCAATCCGCATACCCTTCCCCGTTAGGACGCATGGAGACCGCGTATACGCGGGAGATGGCTTCGCAAAAATAACAAAATTTGTCAGCCAGGGAGAGAAGAGACGAAGAGGAAGGGGGAGAGAGAGGGGTAGTGGGGTTACCTCCATCACCCATCGCCACCGTTTTACTTCTTGCCACGTGGAAGAACTGCCACTTGTCCGTATTTCGGCTCGTTGGTCAAGTCCGGCTCTTTCCACGGTGTAATTTCTTCGTCCTTTAGTACCTTGACAAACCGATGCACACATGTTAGTCCGTCCGCGTTGCCGTGTCGCTCGGTCTTTTGATGGACGATATCGAAGTCGTACTCTTGCAGTCGCACCGCCGAACGACCAATCATGCCCGTGTAGTTGGTGAGCTTCTTCAAAGCTAGCAGAGGCTCGTGATCCGTCACGAGGCGAAACTTTTGTCCGTAGAGATACGGATGGAAGTGTTGGATTCCCCAAACTACCGCATAGCACTCGCCTTGAGGTGCGGAGTCGTCTCGGCGTTCGTCTCGCACTGTGCGTGACGCGTACTCGATGACATGTTCGCAACCATCGTTCCCCTTCTGCGCTAGAATAGCGAAAATAGCTTCCGGTTGCCAGTCTGTGATGAGAATGAACTGCTTTGAGAGGTCCGGCCGAATCAAAATAGGGGCTGTCGCCAGAGCGTCCTTGAGGGTTGCAAAGGCCTGCTGGCACTCCGCGTCCCAGCTGAGAGGCTGGTCCTTCCGTAACAGATTCTTTAGTGGTCGTGCAATCGCGACAAAACGCTTGATGAAGCGTCGGTAGTACGACGCCAACCCCAAGAAGGCTCGAACCTGCGTCAGTGACGTGGGAACCGGGGCTTCTTTCACCGCCGCAACTTTTCTCGAGTCCGGCCGCAATCCTCCACGTGTCACGACGTAGCCCAAAAACGAAATTTCCGAGAGGAAAAATTCGCTCTTCTCGAGCGCAATCTTGAACCCAGCGTCTCTCAACGCTCCCAATGTCCATTCGATATGTTGCGTGTGCCCGTGATAGGTTTCCGAATAGACCAGGATATCGTTCATGGACACGATCACGCAGAAGTCAATCATCCCTTGCGTCAGCCGTGTCTTGTTGACGAAATTTTGGAACGTCATGTTCATCGCTCGCTGAAATGTGGCAGGCGCATTGCAAATCCCCATCCGACACCGAACCCACTGCCACGTGCCCTCAAACAATACAAAGGCCGTCTTCGGCCGATTTTCTTCCCTTACCAGAATATGATGGAAGCCATGCCGAATATCAAACTTGCTGAAATAATTAGCGCATCCAATCGCATCCAACAAATCATCAATCCGGGGGAGGGGATACACATCTTTGATCGTGATTTCATTCAGCTTGCGATAATCAATGCAAATGCGAATCGCCCTGTTTTTCTTCGGTACTAACACTACGGGGAAGGACCAAGGTCCAGTGGCGGGTTCAATCCAGCCGCTGGCTTCGAACTCCCGAATTCGTTCGAGAGCCTTTTTGCGTTCAATCAGGGAATACCGATAAGGTTTGCAATCAATCGGGGAGTGATTTCCTGTCTAAATTTCATGTTGGATTACTAACGACAAACCAATGTCAGTGTCTGACACACGAATCGCTCCTTGAGATTCAGTTAGAATGTTCGCAATTACCCGGTGGATTTCATCCGGCACGTACAATGGAACGTGTAGTTCGAAAAGTTGGTCCCAGATCCGAACGTCAATCTGTTTCGTGCTCGCCTGTTTTGCCAAGTCGGGTGGAGGCGCCAAGATGAATGAATGGTCCGATCGCCAGGAGAACACTGTGACCATCATATGGGCATCTTCTTCCCGGATTGCCACGTGTCCTTCTGGGGTAATCCCGTAACAAACATCCTGCCATAGCACTTCCTTAGTTGCGATTTTTATCCCCAGTCCGTCTATTTCTGCTTCGAAACGCCCAGGGGGTTTCAGAGAGCTTGCTTCCGCCCCCAGGCGTAACAATCTCACTTCTTTAGTCGATGTTAATAAGGACTTGGGTAGATCCGTAATGTCATAATAATGCTTCTTGTCGCTATACCGGGCGAGGAGAGGGGTGGTTCCTTCGTACAGAGTTTGAGGGGGTTCCAAATAATCGACCATCTTCGAAATCTGTACGAGGGGCTCACCCAAGATCATCGCCTTGGTTCTTTGAATTTTTCGGCTGGTCAGTTGCATCGTTCTTGCTATCGTTTTGGGCGGCGGGTAGTAAACGCGCTGTCGTGCTAATTTCAAGATCTCCGGATCATCTTCATCACTGCTGTCCGCATCATTCGTTGATGACTTTCCCTCTGCGGATTCACCCCAGGAGATCATGTGGAGAGTCTCTGCCATCATCGGCGAAATCCGTGGAACGACGTTAATGGTAGTGCGAAGGGTCAATCGCATGGGCACAGCGTAGGATTTTCCTCCTGTATTTCGGAGGACGATCGATCGTCGTTCGAAGTCCAGGTTTGCTCGTAACGCCACAAGAGCGGGAAGTCCGAAAAGAACGTCGTACGTATTAACATCTAGTACTACGACATCCCCAAGCACGTGCACTTTTCCCAATCGGAAAGCGACATTGGTCATCCTTCCCATGGTTTTAATCCTTTCTTCGTCCGCCGAAACGAGCTGATCTTTCTCAGAAAGCATGATCAGGTCGTTTTTCCTACCTGCCCTTTCGACCACTCTCAGTGAAATAGCCAACACATCTGCTCCCGAATCTATAATTGCGTTGTAGGGAATTCCCCAAATTTCAATATCACATTCTGCGAATTTCCACGGAATTGGTTTAATCCGTAAGAAATGGTCGTCTTTCTGAATTAGACCTACCCGTATCGGATCCGGAGTACCTATTGGGTTTTCTTCTGGCGCGGGGCCTTTGGCTTTTGCATTTGGTGTTCGGGCGAGGGTGAATCGCTTTCGGTTTGCTTTGCAATGTTGTAGCATTCACTCGCTGGCTTGCTCGGAGATCGAGAGTAGATGACCGATCGGAAGGGGAATCCGATGGTCTAATGCTCGGATGATGTTTAATACATTGATCTCTCCTGTGACGAAGGTGGGTTCTCCCGACTCCATTTCTCCTAGAGACGGTCGCCACTCCGCCACCTCTTTCGGTTCTGGCGCTGGTCTGATTGTTCCGATCATTCCAAGCCCAAGATATCCCAGCGATAGGTACTGATCTAGCTGGATTAGCTCGGTGGCCTCTTCCGTGGTGGCCAGGGCACTTCCCCCACCCTCTACTTCTTCCATCAAGGCTCCGACTCGTCCATGTCCGTTAGTGATGGGAGCCGCAGCCATAGGCGCGACCCTGATTCGCTGTTGTGGGGGTCGGTGGGGGCAATCACGGGCTAGAAGTTCTGGCTGATGACAGGCATAACAGACATTCAGATTGTTCGCAGCTCCCCCGAGAGCAGGGGCCGGGGCTAATCCTTGCTACATCGGAGGGGCACGCACCGCAATGGGCCGCATATTCCTCATCATGGCCTTCAGCCGAGCATTGTGCTCCCGCTGTTCTTTCTTGCTTTCCTGGATTAAATTAATCAATGTTTTGGTTAGTTCGAAAATGGCCGCTGATTCGTTCGATCGTACGGGAGCCTCAATCGGCGGCGGGGGTAATGCCCTAACGGGCGGGGGTATCATAGGAGCAGAGATGCTCGGAGTCTCGCTTAGGATTACTCGTTTGGGGCCTATCTGTTCCATATAGGTGACAGGTCCTGATACAAATCCCATGTTTTCAAATTTGTTCTGGAAGGCATCCAGCTCCGCTCTCGCTCGTGCGAGCTCGGTCGAATCTCCGCCTCTAGGGTAGTCTTCTCCTTCCAGGAAGTTCGCCGCGAACTTCCGTTTCATTTCTTCTACAGCAACCATAATTTGTTGTACGTATGAGTGATGGGGGAAAATTGCTTTCGCAACTTAGCCCTTATTGTTTGGCTGCGGACTCCGTCAATGAACAGATCTCTCCCTACTTGCTCACCTCGCTCAGTTTTTACGAACATCCTGTAGAACCGGTTTCGATATTCTGCAACGGATTCGAGGGGTTTTTGCACTCGATCCTTGATCATGTACAGTGCTTGCTCAGGGTGAACATAATCAAATCGGTTCATAAAATCCCGTTCGAAGGTTAGGAGATCCACCCATACGTAGGTACTATACCAATGATGAGCGTCTCCTCCCATTCGAGCCGGAATGTTGATTTGTGCTTCGTGATCATCGTACTGCTGTGCTCTAAGTGTGGCCAGCCATGCTCCTGCGAGATGGTGCACCGGATCAAATAGATAGAGATCTGGTGGCGTCATGGGAGCTCGTGCATGTGGGGCAGGTTGATTTGGTGGATTAGCATTTTGTTGCCGAACCGGGTTCTGCACATTAGCAGCCATATTGGCTGCTCGTCGGTTAGCCGATCTGCTTCGAGTGACGATAGGGTCGCGTCTATGYGCGTTCCGAGGGCGAGGTCGCCCACGGTTAGCCAGGTCGCCTAATTAACGTGCTATCAATCCTAAGACCCTAGCCACATGTCGGGCTCCGATACCAACCTCACGCCGAGCGCGACTTCCTGATCAGAGTGGGGTATGGGCCTGGAAGTGCGAAAAGGGGTGTGCCAAGGATTTTTGGGAAAGTGGGGGAGTCTTGAGGGTATGAATGCAATTAGGTGAATAAGGGGTGCGTGC